TGGGCATGGTGGAGGCGGCTTTCGAGATGGTGCGAGTGGCCCGCCTCGTCCTGGCCTCTGCCTCGGATGCCTTGCTGGGTCTGGTGCTGGCGGAGGAGGAAGCGGTGGAGGCCTGCATGCGGGACCTGGGGGTCGCCCTGGATCGCATGGGCCTGACGGCGTATTTCGCGCCCCGCCTGCCTCCCAGCACCGAGGCCATGCGGCTGGTGGTGGCCGACTGCGTGGACTCCGACGCCGGAGAGATCCAGCCCTCGGAACACTGCAACCTGTGCCTCCTGCCCCTGGCTTGTGCCAGTCAACTGGGCGTCACTGTCACATATAACTCCGAGCATGCATACTTCTGCGTGTGCCTGAACTTCTGGATCAACGCCGTGTCAAGGGACCTCCCGCGGCCTCAAGTGACGGCGAGGGAGGCCACCGAGTCTGAGGGGGTTTGTGGACGAGCGTGAGGACTGAGGCCCTGCACCCCCACACAAAGATTTCAGTCATGCACACTAGGAGAAAAGCGATAAAGAATTCTACAGATTAGCTTGCCAAAAATTCAAAGTCATGTCGCGAAAGGCGCCGGTTGGCTGAGATTTTACTTGTACTCCTTTATGCTTTCTGACGGGCTTGCCCCGTTCATGTCATTGTGCTGACTTTTCCTTCCTATACAGATGACAGCAAGGGCGTGAAAGGCTTGATCACAGCTTTGGCCATGGAGATCACCGCCGATACACCCACCGCTCCGAGCCCCAGTCGCGGGAAGCCGAAGAAAGATGACAAGGGCCAGGTCGCTGCCGGCGACATGACGACTAGACGCGTGCGCCAAAAGACGATCACCAGCAAGACATATACGCCGTATTGTAGTCTACTGGCCAGTGCATCGTAATCCTTGGCACGAGCAAGGACCTGCTCCCTCCGAGGGGCCAGGTCTTTCTCTACCTGAATGAGCTCTCGCTCCAGCTTGCTCTTTTTTACAAAATCTGTGGGAATGCCCAGCTATGAAATTGAAAGGAGGAAGACCCCCAGTATGTGCAGTGAGAGAGACAGGGACTGCTAAGTTTATATTTGCTGATTAGGAGGGACCCGAGCATTCTGTGGAGACGGGGCATCGTACGTTCCGTCGTCCTGCTCTCAGGCAAATACAGCGCCTCATTTTGCGAACAGATACTTACGCTTTTCATAGCCAACGCGAGCTCAAACTTGCGAAGAGTTAGAGACTTTATCTCAAGTGTAAGGGACTTGCATTGTTGCCTCTTGCCCAAAAGCAGGGCAACCTCAAACAGGACAATGAAGATCAGGAGGGGTAGAAAGTAAGGAGATGGCGGCTCCACCAGCGTGATAGCCATTTGGACGAGCCACGTGTCAAGATTCTACCCTGATGCGATTGGAGCTAGACAATTGTGCGTTTCTGGTATCGCTCTGTGGTCGTGGGTGAAAGAGGTTGGGGGGATTCCTTCAAAGTACTGGAGAGGCGGAGCTGCAACCTCGCTGTCGCCCGCGCTACTAGTCTGTCTCACCACCCCTGTACCACCGATGCTCCCGAAACCAACATCATCTCAATCTTTTCTTGGTCATACGGCACATATTTGATGCAGGGCAGCGTATGCCGATATCAAGCCACGGGGGTTGCTAGGAGAAGGTTCTTCGACCCTCCGTCACAAGCTTGGGTTGCTGCAACAGCGACATCCCGCATGGCCCGCCATGACTGCGCTCCTAGCAATCGGACACGCAGCACCAGACTATGGCAACGTGAAACTCTCTTGTTTTCAGTCACCCTTCTTTATGTCACGGCTTCGGCCTCCTCGAGCCACACTCTTCGCCATGCTGCCTTCCTTTCCAGCTTGCCCCCACGGCGACCGACAAATCAGGTTCATGGTGCGCTGCCCCCGGGAAAAGAAATGATGCATGTCGCGGAGAACGACGGGACGACCGCAGAGACGTTCTCACAGCTTTACGGCGACCGTTTGCCATCATGGTTACTGGCGCGTGTTGAGAGCCTGGGTTATATAAGGCCGACCGCCGTGCAGAAGGAAGCGTTGGGCGCCATTCTTGAGGGTGAGGATGTGGTGGTGCATTCACAAACGGGCACCGGCAAGACGCTGGCATTCATGTTGCCCCTTCTGGCGGGAATTGATGTCAACAAGAATGCGGTGCAGGCGCTCGTGGTGGTGCCGAGCAGGGAGTTGGGACTGCAGGTAGCGAGTGTCGCGAAACAATTGGCAAGTGGGCACATGTACTACCGCGGCGAAGACGGGCAAGAAGAGGGAAGGGACGCGGAAATCGAGGACCCAGAAAGAAGGGAAGAAGGTGTCGGGAGCGAAAGTATGACGGCGGGCGCCAGCAATGTCAGGGCCGCCAAGAAAATTCTGATCATGTCTCTCCTGGAGGGCTCTAAAAACCGACGGCAAAAGGCTTGGGTGCTAGCGGAGCCTCCGCACGTCGTGATCGGAAATCCCCGTTCCCTGGCACAACTGGTGGAGAGGGGGGGGATTCGCTACCACCAGGTGAAGATGGTGGTCGTGGACGAAGTGGACGCTTGCCTGACCAGTCCCGAGACCGGCAGGGAGCTGCAGGGCCTGCTCGGTAAGTACCTCTCTCCCTCCTTCTTGACCGCAGAGCTCGAGGAGGAGGCCACCGCCACGGGCGGATCCAGCAAGGATGAGGAGGGTCCGCTCCTCCCACAAGGAGCCATGAAGGATGGCGGGGGCGAGAAGGGCGGGCGGGTGGCCCGGAAGCTTGCCCCGTGGAAGCTCGTGCATCGGCAGACCCTCTTCGTCAGCGCCAGCATCCCGCAGCACAAGCATTTCATCAAGCAGTGTGTCCAGCAGCAGTGGACTCTACGAGAACCGATGCACGTGCATGTCACGCCCGGGGAGCTGATGCCTCCAGGTTTGCGGCACGGCTACCTCGTCGCCCCCACCAAGGCTGACAAGCCCGCCGCACTCTTGGCTTTCCTGCGGCGGGAACGGGCCAAGGGCCGGCTGCAGGCTTGCGTCATTTTCACGGCGGACGACCGTGAGGCAGAAAAGATGGCCGCGATCCTGGCGAGGAGCGGAGGGCTCGCGGCGGGAGGGCAAGAGCCCCGGGGAGAGAGCAGTGTGGTGCAGGCCCTGGTGGGCGGGGAGCACATCACGCGCCGGGCCAAGGTGATGGACGCATTCCGAGCCGGGGAGAGCTGGGGACTGGTGACCACGGACTTCGCGGCGCGAGGTCTGGACGTGCCTCGCGTCAGCCATGTGATCATGCTCGACGTGGCTGGGGAGGCGGACACGTACTTGCACCGAGGGGGGCGGGCGGGCCGGATGGGCAGGCCTGGCTGGGTCGTCTCGCTCGTCTCAGAGACGGAGGCCTTCGCGCTTGTGCGCCTGGCGAACTCGCTGAAGATCGAAGTGAGGCGGATGGGCGTGATGAAGAGGCCTCGATCCAGATAGGACGGAGGGGGTTTCTGTGAGCCGTGGGAGGTCATGTTCGAATCCCGCTGTACATTCTTATAAAAAGCGAATCAAAGCAACATCGACCCTAGGTTTCTAAGCACAATGCAGACGCCCCTGTACGCATTGATGACTTCCAGCTCGTGTATGCCATGCACGCCATGGGTATTCTAGTGCCCTTTCTTCCACGTCAGCGCGCCCGTTTGCTCCACCAGGTCCTCCGTTACTTTTTTGTACTTCTCAAACTCTTGCTCGTTTCTGTGAATTTGTGCAAGGAAGTGGCCGTGAACTGAGCGTCAAACACCCCCACCACCCCGCCCGCCCTTACCGAGGAATTCCCGTGTCACCCTTCTTGTGCATGACGGCCAAATTGAAACAAGAGGGCCCATGTCCCCGCGCGCAACCCTGTTCCAATAACCCCTTTGCCTTGAGAGCATCCCGTTCATGCGACTTGTCCTCCGGCAGGTGCCGAAGCAGATGACTAGCCAACGCGTAGCAGCTATCAGGGATGCCCTCCCTGCACGCCTTATCTAGGATACCCGTCGCTTTCTTTACGTCCTTGGAAACGTCGTACCCGCCGTCTTTCCCATACAGGAGCAGTAGCCCCATGTGGTGGCAGGCCATGCCGTGCCCGGCTTTACAAGAAGTGTCAAAGCACTTGAGCGACCTCGCATCGCTCTGAGGAACCCCGCGACCGCCCAGATATAGGCGTCCCAAATTAAAACATGAGGGAGGGTGACTGTATTTTGCGCAATTGTCTGTGTATACCTTCGCCGCCTTGTTGTAGTCGCCCTGCGGAAGGGAAAGCGTGAGAGACAGATACAGCAGTTTCCAGACATATTAGTGGACAAACGCACCTTGACAACGGCTAAAAATTCTCCCACAGAATGGCAAGCCCATGCATCGCCCTTGCCCTTGTCGCAGTCCATTTCGAATGCCAGCATCCGCTCCTCATACTCGGGATCGATAGCTTGAAGCCCCTCGATCATGACCGTCTTACTTGCCTCAATCTATCCAGGCCTAAGCAGAGTGTTCGTTGTGAGCCAGTACTATTATTCACGTATGATGCCGTGTCATTCATGTCATTCATTCAGTCGTACTGGCGACTCTCACGTATGGATGCATGAGATTCGCAACTTGCTAGTGTATACGTACCGTTCCACACTTCTCTTTGGTCCCTTCTTGGAGATCCTTAAAGGTACAGAGGGATGCACGTCGCGAGTGGGGAGGTTGGTGAGTAGCTAGTGTATACGTACCGTTCCACACTTCTCTTTGGTCCCGTCTTGGAGATCCTTACAGGTACAGAGGAATGCACGTCGCGAGTGGGGAGGTTGGTGAGTAGCCATTCGTCGCACATGGAGACGAAGCACTGTCATCAGGATGGCTGTGTGACCTTCTAAGGAAGGATGTAAGGAAGCAGGCACGTACATCCCTGAGTCACATGGATGGGCAAGTGCCTCGCCCAATTTTGACGTTCTCTCTTCCTTGTCCCCTTGCAGAGGACAACCGCTTCCGCCTGGTTCGTTCCTTTTTCTTGCAGGTCGCACAACTCCTCTTCAATTTGATATCAGTTCACTCTCGATTCAGGTTGCGTGGCTGAATGCCCCCGTTGCTTCCGACTTTGAGCAGAACCCTTATAAGTGCTGCCTGCTTGTGCTTTACCGCTCCATCCTCCTTTGTCCTCCGTCCTTCGTCAAGCCGCCCCGCCTCCACCGCCGTGGGAATGGCCGCTCAAGGTTTTTGCTATAAATATCCCCGACCGTCGGTCACGGTTGACACTCTTGTCTTCTGTTTGGATGAAACCCAGATGAAGATTTTGCTCGTTCAGCGCGGGAACGAGCCCTTCAAAGGGGCTTGGGCTCTGCCGGGGGGGTTTGTCGATCAGGACGAGGGGCTGGACTCCGCGGCGGCTCGGGAGCTCAGGGAAGAAACTGCTCTAGATAGTATCTCGTTTGCACAGGTCGGTACTTATGGACAGCCAGGGCGAGACCCGCGGGGACACACCATCACTGTGGCCTACACAGCATTCCTGCTGTCGTCTGAGGGAGCAAGAGCTGGGGATGACGCCCGAGAGGCAAAGTTTTTCGCGTTCGGCTCACTTCCTCCCCTAGCTTTCGACCACAAGAAAATCATTGAGGAGACGTGGATGAGATTGGTCGTGTGTGACAAGGAGGGTACGACCGTGGTGAAGGAGCGAGGAGCACAGCAAGTGCTGTGTAGGTTGCCAACAGCCAGCGCGGCACAAGTCGTCAGATCTTCGAAGCCTTTCACATAAAATGAGGAAGAAATTGATACTCGACATCCGTATTAGTAGACTGCTTAATCTGTCGTTATTTTACACCAGGAGCGTTTTGGCCTATTTTTATGTGCCGCCCGGGCACTCAACTTACTGAGATCTAGTACGCAGGTTGAGACTCTATCAACACAGTGACATTTCGCGTGCATCGCAGTTTATAGGGCCTATACAACAGCGATTTCCTGAAGCGAGAATGGCTCTTCGGACACGACGATGGTGCGCCTCACCGGCGCGAGAGTGCTGCCTCTCGTTCTGCTTCTCCCACTCCGGTCGCGGTCCCCCTCGCGTCTGCTGCTGCTCCCTCCCTTGTCTTTAGACCCGGTAGATATGGCGTCCGAACCAAAACGTCGGTTTCCTGCTCGCGGCCGCGTGGGTTGCAGGCCTGTGAACCGTACGTAGAGGTGGCGCAGGAGGTCGGACTCCAACGCCAGGCTCCTGGCCCGCTTCAAGTCCTTCTCGTCCGAAGAGAGGGACCACTTCAGCATCAGCTCCTCCAGCGTGACCTTGTCCAGGAGCCCCCGCCGGTGAAAGGCCTGGTAGATGGCCCGGCCTGCCATGGCGTCGAGCGCGGCGTACTCGACCTGACGCGAAGAGAGCTCCGGGGTCTCCCAGTTCCCAAGCCTGATCGACTGGGGCTTGGGCAAGCAGATTCCCCACAGGGCCCCCATCAGCTTCTGCAGGGATATGATACGGAAGGGGGCGCCTTCTGGGAAGACGCGCCCGCCCACGCGGCCGACGTCCACGAAGCACCTCGATGAGAGCCCCCAGTCCTCCCGGAGCCGGGCCAAGTCCTCCTCCACCGAGACACCCACCTTGGGCAGGGTGGGGTCCCTCAAAAGCCTTCCCAGCTGCCGGGGGATGTGACTCAGCCGCTGGAGCTGGATGATCAAGCAGAGGCCGGGGCCCGAGAGCTGGAGGATGGCCGATCGACGCGCGGGCTGGTTCGGCTTGAAGGAGGGCCTCCATTCTACGTCCAAACCGATGGCCCCATCCCCCCCGCCTGGCCCGAGCTCTTTCCGCACGCGGTGGCAGAGTCTATCGCACCAGTAGTTCGCGGCCGTTGTACCTTGTATGACGGCCACCTAAAGTATGGGCAAGGACTGTGAGGTGGCTTTTCGTCTCCATGGAGACTGTCAGGTATGCGGAGTCCTTTTCTCTGTCATCGCGAGAAAAAGGCGCAGCATAGGAGCCGACAAAGGGCTTCAAAAACGTGCTGATACTGACGAGAGGAGTTAGCGCCAGCCATTTCACCCATGCGTGTTGGCTTACCTTGACGGTCTCACGCCCCCTGCCGTACGAAAAGGGACAAGTCATTTCAATCATCCGGGTCAAATTACACGAGTCACTTTGCCGAGACAACGGCCCACCCTCCATGTACTCTGCCACTGGCTCCTCAATCTGGACACTGTGTAAGCCTTGTTTCCCCAGACTGTCCCATGAGGCCCCTTCGTCCATGACCGCGCACGCGAGGCCGCGGGGGGGAGGTCGCGAGGAGGGAAGTACTCCTTTACGTCCGACACGAGCCGAAAACTCTTCCTGCCTAACCAGTGCATGGTAAGCACGTCGCTGGCCACGTAAAATCATCTCCTGATCTCTGCCTGTGGGTTGGTCCGTGGAGAAAGTACGGGGTCAGAGGCCGGGGCGAGCAACACGTAAGTTTCCTTGAGGCTCGTCCTCCCGTTCAAGCGAGGCCCCCCGCCAGGCCGGGCCGCAAAGATTTAGCTGGCTGCCCACTCCTGGTTCTCCATCACCACACAGCGAGGCATGCGCTTTATCCTTCGGACCTCGCGCATGGGCATATGGATGGCTCGCGGCGATGATTTTTCTTTTCGATTCCATGTTTTTGCCGCGTTTCCTCATGAGGGTTCTCGTCTTCTTGGCAGTCAAGCTGGGCAGGAATCACCATCCAAGGACAATTCACAAATGCATTCCAATTACCTCCTTTAAATCTAAACTATATCCAGAGGATTGGGGATCGGGACGTGTGGTTTTTTTCCCATGATCATGCATTCTTACGGTCTTCGAGAGTAGTCGAGAAAGAGGATGGCGCATTTCCGACTGTTTTGAGGGCACCGACTGTCCACAGCCTTCTCTTTGTCTTCCGTTCCCGTCTCGCTTTGTCTGGCATAGAATTTGATTGGAGTAATGTATGCTTCAGCACGATTGCGACTGAAAGTTATCTCCAAAATTTGCTTGCTCGGGTCAATTTCGAAGCTCATCACGAGACGTTCCTCACGTACCTCCTCAACACTCCCAAGCAGGCGCCTGTGGATCACTTTTGAAAGATAGAACCATGTTGGAAAAACAGCAAAAGTATGAAGTGGAAGAAGGTTGACGTCACAGTGGTTGCGGTGGCGTAAATTTGTGTCGGACAGAAGCAAAGCTGCAGCGTGGAGCTCGACCTGGCTGTGGGCACGTCGCCTGTTGGGCCGTAAGTATATAAATAATATCGACTTGCGGTAGCGATTATCAGCAGCAGCCATAGAGGTGAAGTCGGCGGTGTTTTAAAAGGCGGGTCGTTTGAGCATGTCCTCGACGACATGTCCTGTGTTTCGGCCCTCCAGGGAGGAGTTCAAGAACTTTTCAGCCTACATCGACAAGATTGACAGTAGGGTAGGAAATGCTGGGCTGTGCAAAATTATACCTCCGGAAGGCTGGTATGATACGCCAACGGAGGCGGAGTTCGAAGGCATGTGGGCGGAGCGAGGACTGGTGGTGCCCCCCATCAAGCAGTGTGTCTCTGGCCTCAGGGGCGTGTACCAGTTGGGCCTGATGGACGGCAAGAAGATGGCCGTCAAGGACTTCCAGGCCCTGGCGAAGAAGACGGAGCCCGACCAAGCCATGTCGTACTCGGAGATCGAGCGCTTGTTCTGGCGCAGTATGGGTCCCCTGGCGCCCCCTCCTCTCTACGGCGCGGACATGAGCGGCTCTCTCTTCCGCGATCGGGCTAGCGGGTGGAATCTGTCGGAGCTGGACAATATGATTAAGCTGCTGCCTTCCAATCTGCCCGGTATCACCACGGCCATGCTGTACTTTGGGATGTGGCGCGCCATGTTTGCCTTCCATACGGAGGACATGAACTTGTACAGCATCAACTACCTTCACGCGGGCCGGCCCAAGAGCTGGTATTCCATCCCCCCCCACGCTCAAAGGCGCTTTGAGAGTCTGGCGCAGTCCCTGAATCCCCAAGGCTTCCGGACCTGCTCGGAGTTTTTGCGTCACAAAACCAGCATATTCTCGCCCAAGGTGCTCCGGGAGTCCGGCATTCCCTTCCACACCCTGGTGCAGGAGCCGGGGGAGTTCGTCGTCACTTTTCCTGCTTCCTACCACGCAGGCTTCAACCACGGATTCAACATTGCGGAGGCGACAAATTTCAGCACGGAGCGATGGTTGTCCAAGGGCCGCGAGGCCAAGGTTTGCCGGTGCCAGCCCTACTCGGTCCACATCAATATGGACGACTTCGCTGCCAAGCTGGCCGCCAAACGTGCCGCAGACCAAGCCCGCGTGGAAGCGCTGCCGAACAAAACGTCCAAAATAGACCGGAAAAAGATCTTGAGGCGTTTGAGCTACATAGGGTGGATGGCCTGGCGGGAGCAAGAGGAAGAAGCGAGGCGAGTGGAGGAAGCTTTGGCGGTCAAGGAGCGTCAGCGCTTACAGCGGGAGCAAACGAATTTGCGTCGGAAAGAGAAGGTTCGACGGCTGAACGGGGGGACGCTTAGCCTGACTGTGGGGGAAGGGGAAGGTGGTGGGGATGGCCAGTCTGCAGAAGACTCGGAGGAGCGCGTGGGAGGAGACGAGGGGGAGGACGAGGAGGACGGCGGGCCCGCCCGCCAAGGTCTCGAGGTGGACCTAGCGGCGCAGAAGCAGTGGGACTTTCGGTGTCGCTGCGGGGTGGCCGCAACGAGTGGGGCACCAGTGCAGAGCTGGCCGAAAGGCGCCATCTTCCAGTGCGCGGGCTGCTTGGCCTGGTCGCACACGCGCTGCCTATACAGCAAGGACCACGCCCCCCGCCGGGCGTTCTGTGCAGGCTGTCATCAGGTATTGCAGCGATTGGAAGCATCGGGTGCGGATTGGCCCACTGGGCGGCGGATCAAGCTGCGGTCAAAAGTGGTGGTGTGTCGGGGCCCGCGAGGGCTGGAGGAGGGAAGCGTGACGATGATCGGAGAGGGGATGGCCCGAGTCTACTTTAAAGGAATGAAAAAGCCAAGAAAACGCGATAGGGCAGGCGCGCCGGGAGAGACATGGCCGAAGGCGCTCAAGAGGCCTATGGAAGAATGGGTAAACGTGATGTCCAGTCGCTTTCTGAGTCGAGAGCGAGTCCAAGCAGCCCTTGGCCAATTTAGCCTCCAGTCTATTCCGACACAAGACTGCGGAATCAGTGAATCTATAAAGATGCAAACGCCGCAACCTCAGAAGATAAAGCTGGAGCAGGGACTTTATCATCACGGAGATGTTGCCACGAGTGCAGGGCATTGCTGCAGGGATCAGGTAATTTCCGCGTCGTCACTTAGAGGGTCAGGTGCGGCGCAGCCCCCAGCAAATACCAAGCGTGGCATGGCTCCCCATCCAGCTCCCTTGCTTCGGGGCGTCCCGTTGCCTGACGCCCAGGCAGCTGTGCGCCACGCCAAATTTCAGAAGGACCTGGCTAGAAGCAAGAAGGCTTTCCGCAGCCTCTTTTCCCCCACTCGCCATGCGGAAGCTGTCCCAGGGGTGTCGTACAGTCGATATCATGCCGCGCACAATGCATCCATCTTTGACGGAGAGTGGTCCGACGACGAGGAGGGAGAAAGGAAAGTGCTAGAGGAGCAGTGCAGGGGGCTGCCACTGGGCAACGGCGACCTCGCAGGTGGGCTGAACGGGGGCCGAGGGTGTGGGAGTGCGCAAGACGACTTGTCGAATGGCGGTCATGTCCTTCCAAAATGTTGTGGAACCGACGGTGCGACCGAGCGAGCGCAGGAGCCACCTGCCAACTCCTGCGCCCTGGCTCAAGGCGCTCACGTCCCTTGC